AAAAAAAAAAAAAAAAAAAAAAGCATACTGTATGTTACTTGATATAAATTGAAATGTGTTTTTTTGCAATTACTTGTACATGGCCAATTTTTGCAGTTGGGAATCCATTAAAAGCAACCCTATATATGATTCATCACTTATTGAAGCCCATCATATGTGACCTTTATATTGAAAAATACTATGAATCCCAAATAAGTAAGTCTTTGGATGAATGCGTCCTGTTAAAACATTTCAAAAGTCGAGAGTCATTGGGATTTTATATTATGGGAAATGTCGGTTTTTTTCAGTTACTTACACGTAATCAAATTTTGCAGGAGAATCCATTAAAAGCAACCTATCTCGGGTAGTGCTAGCAACATGGTTATTTGTAATTGTGATAGTCTCAGCATGTTTCACTGCAGTTCTTAGCTCCATGATGACTGTCCAAAGGCTCCAACCATCTGTAATAGACATTGAATACCTTCAAACAACAAACGCAGCTGTTGGGTGCAATGGCAACTCTTTTATTGTGAGGTATTTGGTGAATGTTTTGCACTTCAAGCCAGAGAATATAAAGAGCATCAACTCAATCAATGACTACCCAGAAGCCTTTCAGAGAGGAGAGATTAAAGCAGCTTTTTTTGTGGATCCACATGCCAAAGTCTTCTTTGCGAAATATTGTGATGGCTATACCAGGGCTGGGGCTAGCTTCAAGCTTGGTGGTTTTGGCTTTGTAATATTCAAAATTTTCATTGCCTCTTTGAGTTAGGATGCATCTAGGGTTGATAATCAAGTCGAGTCTGTCAAACTCGTTTTTTTAAATGAGCTAAAAAAATTGGTCAAACTCAGCTCGTTTAGAAAATGAGCCAACCCCGAGCAACTTGATTATTTTACATATAAATAAATCGTATTTTTTAGGTCGAATTTTATTCGAATCGAGTCGAACCCACTAGTTGGGGTTTAATTCAAATTCAACCCGGTCAATTTGGTGGCTCGCATCCTACGTGGTGTCGTTGTGACAGAGTAGGCTCAACAGTTGGGCTATTTTCGTGGGCACATGCTTATAGGCATAATTAGTTTCACAATTTTCATTGCACTATCTATAATAAACCCTTTCTCGTCATACTAAACATGATTGAAATTAAAATTGAATTTGAGTATTACTCTAGTTGAACCCAAATTGATTTTCGAGTTAAATCTGGATTTCTGATCTTGAATCTTGAATCGATCAGCCCATTTGCTTGTACCCTACTCTTAGTAGTAATTTCCCCATTTGCTTGTATACTAAACTAATTACTCTTTAAATTTGTTTCTCATTCTCAGGTCTTTCCAAAGGGTTCTCCACTGGCCACTGATATTTCAGAGGCAATTCTCAAGGTAACAGAAAGTGGAGAGATAAACACATTGGAGAAACACATGCTTTCCTTTTCAAACTGCTCCTCATCAGTTGGCATATCCGATGACCCAAGCTTAGACTACGAGCCTTTCTCCGGTCTGTTCATCGTCTCTGGTGGCATTTCTGCAGCTGCATTGTTAATCACCATTGCTCGTCTTCTCGACAGGCACCGGCCGATAACCGGCTTCATTCAAACCTCACTGATCAACAGAAGAGTTTGCAGTTGGGCTTCTTTGCTCCTCATCCAATGCTACTCGAGATTTGGGTTTCAGTTCTTTAGAGAAAGCTTTATTAGAAGAGCAAATGACCAAATGAATGTGCCTGATGCCCAGGAGGAGAATTTGATAGGCATTGAGTTAGCAAGAAATCATGACATTTGATTAATTTTTTCTTTCACCAGCCAACTCAAGAACAGAGGATTGGTTATGTATACATGTGTTTCTATGATGTCTTATCCGTTTGTATCATAAAATAAAGTTGTCAATTAAACCACAAAGAATTATTTGGGATGCAATTTGGGATTCCTAGTGTTGTTCCACATAAGTTTAGTATCGATTATAATACCGACTATACGAATATAGTATCGGATATTTTTGGTGGCATTCACTGGTAAAGTCGATACAGTAGCAAGTAGTGTTGAAATTACTCCAATATTATACTAGTGAGAAAATAGTTAAAAGGATTAGAAATAAAACGGAAAGAAGTAGAATATGTTAACACTCAAATATACTCTAATTTTCACTTAAAGGAGATTGCAATCACACCTGAGAAAAACTCCGCTCAACTCGACTGTTCTTATTTCTTACACTACTTTATATGTGTTAGACCTAATTTATTAATCTAATTTATTGACATAATAAATCATCATTATTAGATTGGCACTGAACCGTAATACGAATTAGGACACATTATCACTCTAAGTATGTTGTTTGACTAAGTCGAGAAGTTATACTTAAATAATATTATTCGCTATTTATATAGATTTCAACAATAACTCCTGCCGTGAACATATCAATATCTCCACTAATTCTTATAACCACTAAAATATTAAGATTTCACTTTCTCCACTACTTGAGAATTAACACGTACCAACACAAATTTTTTTGGATTTAACGGTCAAGGGTGTTTGGATCAATTTACGCGCATCTNTAACACAAATTTTTTTGGGTTTAACGGTCAAGGGTGTTTGGATCAATTTACGCGTATCTCAATAAATTTTCTCTTCGATCCAGTTAAAAGCAAGACATCTATGTCAGAACTAGTGTATTCAGGAGGTCTGACCCCAAAAAATTGTCAAGATTCAAACTCATGACGTTCTGCGTTTATATCTCATTCATATTATCACTTGAATTATCCATTGAGATTACTACATGCTACTATTGAAAATACTATTTATACATAATTTGCTGACATAATCTATTGCTTTAATCTAACACTACCATGAAGTTGATAACAGGTCCAAAAGTATATTAATACCCAATATCAATCAAATAATCATAAATAATTAAATGAAGAGATTATATCAAAATAACATTACTCTATTGAATATACCAACATCACACAATTTCTTCTACTAGAACACACCTAATTAAAATCATTTATTCATAAAATATTGTCCATAAAAATGAGGTTTTTTTTTTAAGAAATAATAAAAAAAATGAGGTTTAGATTCCAACAAGTAGCAGTACCCAAAAAAAATAAAAAATCTAAACCTTGTTGTCAGGTCCCAACATTTAATGGACTTCAAAATCAAGGAGGCCCCACCTCCATGAAAATGTATGTGATGCAGCCATGAATAAGCAAAGTCATGTTAGGTGCACCTTAATATGGCAGTAGTACATGGTCCATGATCCCCGTGGCTCACCATTCGTGACTTTCGCCTCACGTGTTCCTGTCGGACAAGGTACCATGAATAAATCACATAAACGTGACACCATAAGGACAGACTCGCACTAGCGAACCTTTGATGTAATTGTATTCATTATTTTGTGAAGGACTTGGTTTTCATGATATTGAGGATTAAANAGGTACCATGAATAAATCACATAAACGTGACACCATAAGGACAGACTCGCACTAGCGAACCTTTGATGTAATTGTATTCATTATTTTGTGAAGGACTTGGTTTTCATGATATTGAGGATTAAAATTTAATTATTTGTACAACCTGTATCCAAATTTTGGTATAGATTCGAATTCTCATTGAAATATAAATCTTAAAATAACTGGTGTATGAGTTAAAAAAATTGAATTGTGCTCCCGAGTTTGTCATTTGTTATATTCGGACTCACGAACTTGAACGATTAAGTTGCCTTTATCTCACTAAGGACAGACAAAGATTTTTCTTATCATCCGAAAAAAAAAAAAAAAAAGAAGGATGGATTCACATGTTTCAATTGTATCACTTTTTTTTTTTGGTAATACGGTTAAAGGTATCCGAGCCAATTTATGCACACTTCCATTAATCTCTTCCATTGTACAACCATGATTAAAGAATTCATGAGAGATAAAATCCTTATGATCGAACTTTAGCGGGCTTGTTATGTTTCAATCTCAGGATATTTGAATTTATAATTCGTCCTTATCTTCATTAGGTTTTTTTTTTTTTTTTGGAGCAGCGANCGAGCCAATTTATGCACACTTCCATTAATCTCTTCCATTGTGCAACTATGATTAAAGAATTCATGAGAGATAAAATCCTTATGATCGAACTTTAGCGGGCTTGTTATGTTTCAATCTCAGGATATTTGAATTTATAATTCGTCCTTATCTTCATTAGGTTTTTTTTTTTTTGGAGCAGCAAATCTTCGTAGGGTTAACCCTTGGAATTTCAATTGCATTACTATCATAGTCTCATTTAAACTATATAAACTTAGTAGAGACAAAAAAAAAAAAAAGATATCTTCAATTCCTTGTGGCCAAATTCATCTAACACATAAGGCTCGTGAGTATCTAATCCTATGACCTAGTCCTATAATGAGAAAGTTTGATCCAAATTTGACTAAATAGGGTACACGAGTATTCGATCTAATCAAATATCACTAATACATAATCTTAGTNTGCATTACTATCATAGTCTCATTTAAACTATATAAACTTAGTAGAGACAAAAAAAAGAAGAAGATATCTTCAATTCCTTGTGGCCAAATTCATCTAACACATAAGGCTCGTGAGTATCTAATCCTATGAACTAGTCCTATAATGAGAAAGTTTGATCCAAATTTGACTAAATAGGGTACACGAGTATTGGATCTAATCAAATATCACTAATACATAATATTAATTGTTCGATGAGAGTTGTGCTGAACTTAATTACATAGTTTGAAATTTGACATGAATCAAAAGTTTTGGATTCAATTTGATTGAGTGCTTAATGCAAAATGGTTACGAAAATTGGACGATTCTTTCATATTTGTCGCGACAAAAACCACCAGGGAAAAATCTTGTACTGTGAATTGGAGTGTCAAAAATATTTGTATAAGATTTTTTAAAAACGAACAAAAGTGCATTTTCTTTCTACAAAACANATTTGATTGAGTGCTTAATGCAAAATGGTTACGAAAATTGGACGATTCTTTCATATCTGTCGCGACAAAAACCACCAGGGAAAAATCTCGTACTGTGAATTGGAGTGTCAAAAATATTTGTGTACGATTTTTTAAAAACGAACAAAAGTGCATTTTCTTTCTACAAAACAGATAAATTGTCAAAAAACTGGGAATTAATCGTTTGAAGAAACTCTAATACTTAAATCAATTAGGGTTCTAAGAATAAACAAATAAATTATAGGGAAATAAATGCGTACCTTAGATTTAAACGTTATTTATAGTGCTCTATTCCCCCATCTAGGGTTTCGGCTGTATGAGGTGGCACACATATTGTTAAGCTAATTTTTTCTTAATTTGTGCTGAACTTTTTCAGATTTCCTTATTGATTTTACACCGCCTCTAATTACTCGGAATAGTCTAGCTATCCCTTGGATAAGTCTCATCCTTGGTGGAGGGTGTGTTTCTAATAAACACCAGTTGTTAGTTTTTTCCTCGATTTCACCCACTTCTCGGTTCCATTGTTGACCAGACAACTTCGTCAATCGCTCGATTAGGTCCCGAACTTGTATGGTTAGCCGAAATATAGCTCGGTTGGCCGAACCATTGCTCGAGTAGAGGTACTCTGCCTATTAGTACTTCGCTCTTCATCACGTGATTATTAACACTTATTTTTCTCATTAAATAATTTAATCATGCATAATTGTTGTGAATCCTTTCAAAGCTAAAAATGAATTGCCTGGGAGTGATAATGCTAAAATTTCAAAACACATGCTATGTTTGCTTTTCATCACATCCACCACAATGCATGACAAAAAGAGATGAAAGTACAGAGGATTTATAATGATTTGGACATTGGATGAGCAGTGGNGATTTTTTAAAAACGAACAAAAGTGCATTTTCTTTCTACAAAACAGATAAATTGTCAAAAAACTGGGAATTAATCGTTTGAAGAAACTCTAATACTTAAATCAATTAGGGTTCTAAGAATAAACAAATAAATTATAGGGAAATAAATGCGTACCTTAGATTTAAACGTTATTTATAGTGCTCTATTCCCCCATCTAGGGTTTCGGCTGTATGAGGTGGCACACATATTGTTAAGCTAATTTTTTCTTAATTTGTGCTGAACTTTTTCAGATTTCCTTATTGATTTTACACCGCCTCTAATTACTCGGAATAGTCTAGCTATCCCTTGGATAAGTCTCATCCTTGGTGGAGGGTGTGTTTCTAATAAACACCAGTTGTTAGTTCTTTCCTCGATTTCACCCACTTCTCGGTTCCATTGTTGACCAGACAACTTCGTCAATCGCTCGATTAAGTCCCGAACTTGTATGGTTAGCCGAAATATAGCTCGGTTGGCCGAACCATTGCTCGAGTAGAGGTACTCTGCCTATTAGTACTTCACTCTTCATCACGTGATTATTAACACTTATTTTTCTCATTAAATAATTTAATCATGCATAATTGTTGTGAATCCTTTCAAAGCTAAAAATGAATTGCCTCGGAGTGATAATGCTAAAATTTCAAAACACATGCTATGTTTGCTTTTCATCACATCCACCACAATACATGACAAAAAGAGATGAAAGTACAGAGGATTTATAATGATTTGGACATTGGATGAGCAGTGGCCTATGTCAAAAGTTAAAAATTCCCTTGTCTCACTACACTCTCAAAGAATATTATAGCAGCAAGGCAACGTTTGACAAGAACAAAGAATATGCCACTAGAAAGCTGGCTAATTAAACAATTTTCGTAATTGTTTTATAGATATCGATAAAACCTAATAGATTTTTATGAATTGTTTAATAATACTATTTAAGGTTTAAAGTTAAATACTTTAAATATTTAATGAATTAAACTCGTCTGGTACGTAATCTAAAATTTATATCATATAATATTTTAAGAACTTCTTAAAAATAATTTAAAATTTTAAGTAGTAAACCATATAGTTATCACTTACTGTTGAAACATGTTAGTCAATAAAATTTTTATAAATTTTCATAATGGACAAACATACTCTCAATGCATTTTATACACTTGACTTCTCAAATATCCACCATCTACCATCACCACCATTGTGTCGGCGTCACCGCTACCATTGTGCCACCATTGCCGCCGCTATCACCATTGTGATGGTGGCGGTAGGAATAAGGAAGTTTCCGGTGAGATATTTAAAAAGAATGAAAAATATAGAATAATAATAATTTTTAAACTTCAACNCTCTTCATCACGTGATTATTAACACTTATTTTTCTCATTAAATAATTTAATCATGCATAATTGTTGTGAATCCTTTCAAAGCTAAAAATGAATTGCCTCGGAGTGATAATGCTAAAATTTCAAAACACATGCTATGTTTGCTTTTCATCACATCCACCACAATACATGACAAAAAGAGATGAAAGTACAGAGGATTTATAATAATTTGGACATTGGATGAGCAGTGGCCTATGTCAAAAGTTAAAAATTCCCTTGTCTCACTACACTCTCAAAGAATATTATAGCAGCAAGGCAACGTTTGACAAGAACAAAGAATATGCCACTAGAAAGCTGGCTAATTAAACAATTTTCGTAATTGTTTTATAGATATTGATAAAACCTAATAGATTTTTATGAATTGTTTAATAATACTATTTAAGGTTTAAAATTAAATACTTTAAATATTTAATGAATTAAACTCGTCTGGTACGTAATCTAAAATTTATATCATATAATATTTTAAGAACTTCTTAAAAATAATTTAAAATTTTAAGTAGTAAACCATATAGTTATCACTTACTGTTGAAACATGTTAGTCAATAAAATTTTTATAAATTTTCATAATAGACAAACATACTCTCAATGCATTTTATACACTTGACTTCTCAAATATCCACCATCTACCATCACCACCATTGTGTCGGCGTCACCGCTACCATTGTGCCACCATTGCCGCCGCTATCACCATTGTGATGGTGGCGGTAGGAATAAGGAAGTTTCCGGTGAGATATTTAAAAAGAATGAAAAATATAGAATAATAATAATTTTTAAACTTCAACTCCTTATATTTGTCAAATAATTTGATTCAATTCAATAGTTAAATTTTAGTGGATGATAAAATTGAAAGCTTAATATTGAAAATTGAATGTTAAATTTTTTTAATTCGCAGGCTGTTTGATAATCACTAAAATTTAAGTATTGAATTGAACTAAACTAGTTTGATAACTGCACGCGACATCTAAAAATAAATAANAATAATTTTTAAACTTCAACTCCTTATATTTGTCAAATAATTTGATTCAATTCAATAGTTAAATTTTAGTGGATACCAAAGTTAGGTGTTATTTGATAAAATTGAAAGCTTAATATTGAAAATTGAATGTTAAATTTTTTTCATTCGCAGGCTGTTTGATAATCACTAAAATTTAAGTATTGAATTGAACTAAACTAGTTTGATAATTGCATGCGACATCTAAAAATAAATTANTTAAGTAGTAAACCATATAGTTATCACTTACTGTTGAAACATGTTAGTCAATAAAATTTTTATAAATTTTCATAATGGACAAACATACTCTCAATGCATTTTATACACTTGACTTCTCAAATATCCACCATCTACCATCACCACCATTGTGTCGGCGTCACCGCTACCATTGTGCCACCATTGNTATATCATATAATATTTTAAGAACTTCTTAAAAATAATTTAAAATTTTAAGTAGTAAACCATATAGTTATCACTTACTGTTGAAACATGTTAGTCAATAAAAATTTTATAAATTTTCATAATAGACAAACATACTCTCAATGCATTTTATACACTTGACTTCTCAAATATACACCATCTACCATCACCACCATTGTGTCGGCGTCACCGCTACCATTGTGCCACCATTGCCGCCGCTATCACCATTGTGATGGTGGCGGTAGGAATAAGGAAGTTTCCGGTGAGATATTTAAAAAGAATGAAAAATATAGAATAATAATAATTTTTAAACTTCAACTCCTTATATTTGTCAAATAATTTGATTCAATTCAATAGTTAAATTTTAGTGGATACCAAAGTTAGGTGTTATTTGATAAAATTGAAAGCTTAATATTGAAAATTGAATGTTAAATTTTTTTCATTCGCAGGCTGTTTGATAATCACTAAAATTTAAGTATTGAATTGAACTAAACTAGTTTGATAATTGCATGCGACATCTAAAAATAAATTAATTATATCTTATTAGAAATTGATATAACATTCCCATTAAAGAAATTTTTGAATTTTAATTATTACCACATCATATAAAATGAAGATTTGGTAAACAAATTTAGTAAGTATAACATTACCCGTAAAAGTATCATAAATAAGAAGAATAGAAATATGAGAGAGTCACACTTTATATCCCAGAAATTAAAAAAAGATATTTTGTACTTTCAAAATATTTTTTATTTTATATTCTCAATGTATTAAAAGGTATTGTAATGTGATCCTATGGTTAACTTTAGTTGTTTATCAGTTAAAAATCACCCCATTAATATTGACAATATAAATAACGGAATGAGTATTTCATTCCTAGTAATAAGATATCCAGGTTTCAATTATAAATAATAATATTATATCTAGTATTTGGTTATTGTCAATAATTTAGTGTGAGAATTAATATCGTTGCTAAATTATTTTAAGAAAAAACTTAATTTAAGAAAAATTTGATTTTAGGAGAAGAACTTAATTTTTGAAATGAAGTTAATTTTATAAGGNGTGAGAATTAATATCGTTGCTAAATTATTTTAAGAAAAAACTTAATTTAAGAAAAAATTGATTTTAGGAGAAGAACTTAATTTTTGAAATGAAGTTAATTTTATAAAGAGGTTCATTTTGAGATTTTTATTCTTCCTATAAAATACTCACAGGTATGAAATTACTGCCATTGGTCATGGGTTAAGAATACCCATCATTATTGAGAATTAGATTGTGATAAAAATCTTATTCTCGAGTTAGACTACTGAATTATTAACTATTTAAGGAATGAGAATATCATTCCAAATCAATATTACCGTCGTCTAAACGTGACCTAAGAATGTAATATAAAAAAAAGATTTTTTGCATTTTGCACTCTAAAAAATTTTAAGATTCTCATTTTACACTCTTAACCACTAAATTTTTCATATTGTACTTAAAAAATTTAGGGGTATAAAATGTAATTCACCCTATAAAAAATTTAATCTTGCCGAGGATAAAATAATAATACTTAAATTATTTGAGGTACAAAGTGCAATTCATCCGAGAAATATCAAAGTAAAGCGTGAAATCCACGCTCCAGAGCCTGTGCATTGTTTTACCGCCGACGCCATGGACTCGCTGACTCGATAGGCTCCGCCCCTCTCTGTCTGTCTCTCTAAAAGTCGCTTATCAAATAAATTCCTTGGAAGCTTCCAGTTAGCGAGCAAAACGATGGCGTCTGTCTTACTCCATTCCCCATAAACTGCCAGCCGAAACCTCACAACAAATCGAATAAATCACACCCCTCTCATTCCACCCAAACCTCTCCTGCTCACTACTGTTTCAATGACAGTTCATTGCTTACCAAACCCCCTCTCTTTACCTCTCTCCCTTCACCGACGCACACGACTACAAAAGCACCTTTGACCTCTCATTGGAACTCCTAACAACAACGCAGCTCTAAAATCAGGTGCACTACTTCTTCATTTGCCTCGAAATCCCCAAATTTCATGACTTTCAAGAGTTCTTTCTGGATCCGAACGCACATTTTCCAATTCAATATGTATTAGAATTGAGACCCTGCGAATTGTTTTTTTTTTTTTTTTCTGGATCTGATATCAGATTTGGGATCGTCGACAATGGAAGGAGGTGATGGAACCGTGAGGTTGGGGACTCTGAACATGAAGCCCGATCGGTTATTGAATTTGGAGCCCGACGTCTCTGTTTCGTCGCCGGTCACCAGACAGAAAGCCGCCGCTGCAAAGCAGTTGATTGAGAATCATTACAAGAACTATTACCAAGGCATGCAAGATCGTATTGAAAGGTACATATATGTTCATACGCATATATGTAGTGCATTGGTATAAATTTGTGTTGATATGTAAGGGTGTGATTCTTTGTGGTGATTTGCTTTTGGATTTAGGCGTCGAGCAGTGCAAAGGAAGGCGCAAGAGGCGCAAGTATCGAGTGAGGAACAGGAGGAGATGCTGAGGAATTTGGCACGCAGAGAGACGGAATTTATGAGATTGCAGAGGCATAAAGTTGGAATTGATGACTTTGAGCAATTGACTGTCATTGGCAAAGGCGCATTTGGTGAGGTATATCAACAGTTATCATTTAGGCATATCGATAGTGGTTTAAATTTTTTTTCTTCATTGCTATTTTCAGCTTCGGATTGGCCAATTTACTTCAGGACCGAGGTGCAATGTAGTAGCGAATACCCATTACTGAAAGGAGTAATGACATAGTTTAACTTATGACTTTCTGTTTTGGATCTTCATAAAAAGTTTCTTGATTAAATTGATGATGCAAGTTCCAAGTCAATATAAGGGTTGGGTTCTTTAAGAATTTTTTGTTAATTTGGTGAGTTGTTATTGAAAACATGAATCACTGAGTTCAGAAACTCAAGAGTAACTACGTTGCGGCTCCTGCATGTAGTCCCTTGTTTGAATTACAATGGAAAATAACTTTTTCTCAATTTTATGTATTACTTTCAATATTGTTCCTATGTTGCCCTTTTGTTTGATTCCGCCTCATTGATCAACCGAAGTGCCTAATGTAAGAGGCCTGAGGGGTTAATGGGGAAATTTGCTACAAGACTAATGCAATGGCACTCTCCTCTCTCCACCAACAGACACTCCGCCAATAATGTCCCACAGCAGCTATCCAGTGTCTCCCTCCGCAAACACCCCCCCTCCCCCCTTACACCACCTATTTGCAACCCCCACACCTCAATGCAATCCCACCCTCCCCAACACCAACCATATCCAAACCCCCCTCCTCTACCACAGTACCACCCATCTGCCTGCCACTGGAAATCCACCATCCCCTTAAAACCACCCATCTTCCCCCTCACCCCTCCACCCATCCCCCAGTTGTTAAACCAACAACAAGAACCACAAGTTCCACAACAGACCAATTCTTTTGTATATGCCATTCTGTCATACACACACACACACACACAAAAAAAGAGAGGGAGAGAAAGAGATAGATCGGGTGTGTGTGATGTGAATCAGGTTGTGTGCGCGTGCATACATAAGTGTATGTTTCTAGATAGAGACAAGGAAACAGAAATTGTTGGGGGTGGGAAAAACTTCAAAAATTCCAATTAATTTGGTGAGTGGGTCCAAAACTAATGTCTTTGATTTGCAGTCCATTGTTACATCCATTAAGACTGTTGGTGACAATGATTGTTAATATGGCAGTGGTTGTCATGGTAGTGTTGCTGTGACTACAGGGTGATTATCGATGATCAGTGGGTGGGATTATTGATAGTTGGGGACTGTGGTAGAGGTCGGAGCCCAGTAGGGTTGAAGTGAGGTGGATGTAGGGACTAATGAGGGACTGTTTCACAAAGAGAGAGGGAGAAAAAAGAGAGGGAGCAGTGCAATCATAGCAGGAGAAAATTTTCTCATTTACCAGTTTCATGCCTCTCATTGAGGCACATTCGTTAATAAATGAGGCAGAAGCTAACCAAACGGGAACATTTGAATAGTGTTCAAAGTTGGGGGGAGAATTAAGAAAAATAAAATTGTTTATGGCCTTAAATGAAAAAGGGGTCTAAGGTTCAGGGATCACCAGTATATTTCGCCAAAAAGCAATACTGGAATTTGAATCAGTTTGGCCGATGAATCAATCTAACTTATCTCTGCCTGATACATCAAAGCACTTGGTTATAATTTGTTCTTGTGTAGAGCAATATACTTTGTCAAAATCTTTCTTTCCATGCCTTTTTCTGCAGTAAATATGCTTGCTTGAATCCTACCCTTTCTCATTTTAGTTTTCAATAAAACCACTTGCTTCAAGAAAAATGAAATTATATGTATGATCAATAACATGACTTCATTCATGACCTTAGTAAGTAATGCAGGTTAGGCTTTGTCGTGCGAAAAGTACAGGAGAAATTTTTGCCATGAAGAAATTAAAGAAATCAGAGATGCTTAGCCGTGGACAGGTGATGACCAGCAAAATGATAATAGACCTTCACGCATGTTTGTTTTTGTATTGATGGAAGTCTATAAATGTGGAAGCTTTTTTTTAATGTTTTTAAACCTTTTTCTGAGCTATTATAGAAGTTTTAAATTTGCTTTGAGAATTGATCTAGATGATCATTTAATTTATGTGGTTAACTTGAATGTACTTTTTGCTCCTGATACGTATTGATTGGTTTACTTTATTCTTAGGTTGAGCATGTCCGATCTGAGAGGAATTTGCTTGTGGAGGTTGATAGTCGGTGCATAGTGAAACTCTTCTATTCTTTCCAGGATTCTGATTGCTTATACCTTATCATGGAGTATTTACCTGGCGGTGACATTATGACCTTATTGATGAGGGAGGATGTCCTTTCTGAAGATATTGCACGATTCTACATAGCAGAAAGTATTCTTGCTATTCATTCAATTCACCAGCACAACTATGTACATAGGTATCATAATGATGAATGATATGTTTATGCTTTGCATAATGGTGTTCGGATGATTTCATACTGTTTGAGCAGAAACATGCAAACAACCAGTGCTTCATATGGCTGTGAAGGCAATCAAAACAGTTTTGGCAACAGTCCATTTTGATCTAATTAGCTTGTACTTTTGTCTATTTCTCGTTGTTAATTTGTAGCTTAAGATAGTCAGTCCATCCATGCTTGGTTGTCTCTATGAAATACAGCTTTGAATGCTAGCGGTAATTCTAGCTGAACTTTTCCTGGAGGCCAGTTTTGAAAGTAGGCATGGGCTCGAACTGCTGCTTGTCCTACATGACAATTTCTGGCATAGCCATTTTGGTTTGTCTTGGCATGAGGTCACTTTAGATACTGAATGTATTGCTAGATTTGCCTTTGCCAGGCGTTTGCGCCCTGCTAAGCAAATTGCTTCCCTCTCAGCTTTGATATGACAGTTGAGATGAAATGTAGCTTTCCATGTAATCTGTCCTTTCCTTCTTTGTAAGAGGCTATCTTGATATCGTAGCATAGTGGTAATTTTTCCACCATGATTGATATTGCTTTCGTTCCCTTGTTCTTTTATCAGTTTACATACTTGTCCCGTTCTCCTACTTAGACTGCCCACCACAGAATCATTCTACCTCTATCTTGTCCTTAATAGTTAAGATCAAGCAGGTGTAGATATAATTTGCTTCTGCATTATGTTAAGAGTGTTGGAATCAAGTTTTAGTTGTAATTCTGGTGTATGCATGCATTCTCTAGTGGACGTATGTTTACATATGTTCATACAATGAAATATAAAGTTTACTCTAAAGTTATTCTTGGTTCAGGGATATAAAACCAGATAACCTGATACTGGACAAAAATGGCCATCTAAAACTTTCTGATTTTGGCTTGTGTAAGCCCCTGGATAATAAATATACATCAATACTCTTGGAAGAGGAAGATTTTACAACACAGGAACCCATAAGTGACAGTGAAGGGCATTCTAGCTGCGATAGATCTCCTTGGTTGATGCCAAAGGAACAATTACAACAATGGAAACGTAACCGCCGTGCCTTGGTATTCTTTCCTCATTCCCCATTTGTTTCATTCTTTCAGTTCTTAAATTTTTGGTATTCATGCTTGCTGTTGTGAGTCATCAATGTACAGTTATGTTTTGCAGGCATATTCTACAGTTGGAACACTTGATTATATGGCACCTGAGGTGTTGTTGAAAAAAGGATATGGAGTAGAGTGTGATTGGTGGTCATTGGGGGCAATCATGTTTGAGATGCTCATAGGCTATCCTCCCTTTTGTTCTGATGATCCTAGAATGACATGCCGTAAGGTATTCCTGTACTTTTAGTTCTAGGCATATTTTTTGGTAGATATGAGGACTTTGCTTTTCAGAAATGGAAACATAAGAATGATGTCAAAAATTGGTTTGACAGAGTACTTATGTAATTGTTCACAACAATTATCCTGAAAATGGGCCTTCTTCGGAACTATTGAAGTAAATGGCTTAAAATTGATTCTGTTTTCAATTTGAAATTGAAAATTGAAGATTCTTTTTTACCCTAGTACTAAACAATTCCTCTAGTTCTTGAACAATATCCCTCATCTTTGCCAGATATATGATCTTAATTTTTGTATCAGATAATCAACTGGAAAACATTCTTGAAATTCCCTGAGGAACCAAAAATATCAGATGAGGCGAAGGATCTGATCTGTCATTTGTTATGTGATGTTGAAAAAAGGTTGGGGACCAAAGGAGTTGAAGACATAAAGGTAATATACTTGAAGTAACGAGTTTATTCCTCACTCCACTTGTCTAGAATAATTGTTCTTTTGCTTATGGAGATCAATGGAATTATGTCCTGGACTTTAATTATAAAGAATATCCTGGTTTTTAAAGTAATGAATCATGCATTCAAGACGTATTTCCTTATGAAGTTGAGGCAATTGGTATTCTGGTTTAACTCGTTAATGTATCTTCAGGCACATCCATGGTTTAGAAGCATTAAATGGGACATGCTGTATGAAATGGAAGCCGCTTACAAACCCACTGTTAATGGAGACTTGGACACTCAGAATTTCGAGAAGTTTGCTGAAGTGAGTTCATCGACTATAGATGGATTACCTTTTCCATGTTTGGAAGCAAGATGGATTACTTTTTCCATGTTTGGAAGCAAGATTTTGACAATGATCAATTCTGTTGTATTCAGCTCTATATGTATCTCATTTCATATTCCATCATGCTCTTTTTGTTGTGACTAGGCCCCATCCTTTCCTGGTCTTTTACTTCCCCTTTTAGGTGCTCCAAATATGGAGAGTTTGGGTGCAACCAAACAGTTTCAGCCATTTCTCTCGTATTAGTCCCTGTCACCTATTTCTTCCTATTACCCATAGATTTTGCCTTGTTAACTTCAGGTTTGCCTCTTGTCCATGTCAACTGTGAAATTTAATTGAAAATTGAAACTTTGGCATGAAAAGTTTTCCACATCGTATCAAGCACAAAATATTTTACTATTTCATAGATTTTACCCTGCGTTGTTTGAATGAATTTATCTTGTACAGTGCTCACGTTTTTTCTTTGACAGGTTGAAGATCCACCATCCACAGCACCAAGAGTGGGGCCCTGGCGAAAGGTAATGGCTTCATGTTTTCTGTAGTTATTGAAATTACATGACATAATTGGATCTGAATATGTGAAGTGGAGTTCGTATTCTGTTGGCATTGTACTTGACATAAAATCTATATTCTCTAGTTTGTATATTCAGGCATGTGCATTTTGATGTCCTTTTCTAAGGGATTCCCAGCTGGATTGTGATTTCTTGATATTCATGAAACTGTTCTTATTCTACAGAAGAATTTTGTGCTATTGCAATTTAAACTGCAAATTGGAGGGCATAAACTGTAGACTTTTTATGTGAAGAAAATTTGGCATTACTGTTGGAAAACTTGGTTTCTACGATACCTGCGAATTTTTTTGCATGTTTAATGGTTTAAAGAGAAGACTGATAGGGCTCCAGGTGGAGAACTTTGTGAAGGAATAGGAGGCCATAAAGGCTGGTGATTAAGTCTGTATATGAAAACATGGTTGTTTATGCCTCAACTGTGACAGAGCAATACATTGTTGTATCCAAGTAGTTTGGATATCTATCTTGGTGTATAAAAACCGTTGTTTAGATAGAGCTTTATGGAGCTGAGCTTATTGAGACTTGGTGACATAATTTTAAAATGTAGACCCTATCAAAATCAAGTATTGCACATTCTCAGAAAAATTTATTTGTGTATCATTGTCATTTTGCTTAATTGTACCATGAAGGGGAACAATATTTGATACTTTCGAGTTAGTTTATTTTCTTGTGTAGCTTTTTCGGCTGGAGTTGTTGTAATTGAATCAAAATATGTCTGGTATGTTTATGTGGCAGATGTTGACATCAAAAGATGCCAACTTCATAGGATATACTTTCACGAAATCCGATATCCTCAAATCAGTTGGAGCTTCAGGTGGGCTGCTACTTTAAAATCTAATTGTTTCTGCAGCATCTTGTTTTCATTTATTATTCCATGTTCAAACATCTCGATTTATTATTCAATTTTTTACTGAAAATGTGAAAGATACTATAAATAAACACTTATTACAATAGTAATTAGTGCAAAGCATAAATGATTTAAATGGGTGTGTGAATAAGAAGAGTGTGGGTGTGCAGCAAAAGTTTTGAGGAATGTAGGCAGGCGGTGATTTCATAGGGTGGAAGGATATCAAGGTATGCCTAGATAGGAGGAAATTCTTTAAGGGCATCACCAGTCTTACCTCTTGCTGTGTAATTCTGAGTAACTTTTGTGGCCATCCCAAAATATTTTGGAATAGCATTTTATCTGATATTATTTATTTCATCTTTGATAAATTGACCCTCAATGCCAACTTTGCTTGATAAGTTTATCCTTCCTTCTGAGTAAATATATGTACTTTGTTGAATCCCTAAACCCATTAATGGTTCCAGTTTATGGCAGATTCATGCAGTATGTTCTATAGTAAATGTGAAGAAGGTTGGAACTGATTTTTCTAGTGAATGTGAACTCTCCTAGGGATCCCAGTAAAAATAAAATAAAAACTCTCCTAGGGATCCTGATTCAATCCACTGCAGGCTCAGGTTAAAAAAGGCAATTTTTAAAGAAGACAGCAATCTTCTACATCAGATCCTTTTTGAAGCATGCAATCCTTGGATTTAGTTGACACATTTAGTTATTTGTCAACTGGAAACAATTGAGAACTACGTAAAATTGTTCCATTGAAAATCAAACCAAATTGTGGCGTACATGTACTTTGTCCTTATAATTGAATGCAGATGATAATGTATAAACCAAGCCTCTCCTTTGTTCAAAGTGATCATCTTACTATGTACTCCGAGATATACTCGTCATCTAAGGCTCTAGTGTTTGTCATGCAGGTATGGACATGAAATCAAATGGATCCTCGAAACCCACATCTCTGGTATCCTTGTTTGGTATGGTATCCTTATTTATCATACAAGTTGCTCTACTTGTTTATATTTATGTCTTTGAAATTGAACGATGAAAATATATCTTGTTGACTAACAGCTTCATGTAGTAATTGTAAAGTATGGATTGGGGAGAGGATTCATGGGAGGTTTTTGGAGAGCAAATACAATGGAATAATCACACACTATTTCACAGAAGCTGACATGAGTCTTTTTTGGTTTTTGGCTTTGTTTCGTTAGTTTTACGATCCTGAGAAGTGCTCAATTCTTTTGAACTCTTGCAGAGGGCTGGCTTGTGCTCTTTTGTGCATTTTTTTTTTAATCAGCTTTCCTCAATCACTTGAGTTATGGGCTGCAACTTCCCTCTGCATGGAAAATTTTGGGTGATAGACCAGTATCCAATTCTGAATTACCACTTCTTTTAGATTAACATGGAACAGGTGGTCTAGGAATAACATAGGTGCACCATGTTGAAAAAGAATTGGCTTGTCTCCAATTTGCACGTCAAAGTTGTTTGTTAAAGTTCTGTTGAAATTTCTCCAAATCATCAATAAATATGGTTGAATTAAAAGTTACAAGCACTGCTGTTGTTAGGTTCACGGTCTTTGGTTCTTTTCCTTTCTTTTGCCAATTTCCAGTTTGAAGGATTTATTGGAGGCCAAACTTTTCTGCCTGCAAACATTATTGAAATCAAGGGTGGATTTTTTAAGGCTTCACTTCTGTTCCATGTGAACTGTTTTTAATTGAAGGAATTTCGCCATAATGGATTCATATTTTACTAATTGTAACCTGCCAAATACTCTTTTTTTTGTTGTTTTTTTTTTTGTT